CTTCAGATTCTGTGTCTCCCTCTCTCTCTGCCCCTCCCCAACTTGCACTCTGTCTCTGTCTCTCAAAAATAAATAACCATTAAAAAAAAAATTCTTTTTTAAAAGAAAAAAAGAAACGCAAGGTCTCAAGATCATCGTATTACAAGTTCAAATAATAACTCTCTTGACTGTCTGGCCACTAATTATTTTATTGTACCACCTACATGCAATAGCAGAACTTAAATCATCATGTTTCTTGATTATATTTTTCATTGGAGTTTTCTGGCCAAAACAGAGATAACCCCAGCTGCTCTATCTCAGCAACTTGCCATGAGAAAACAACTGAGAATGTATGTGGGAGTCCTTTGACCTCTTTGAAGTAACATATAATCAGTCATTGCCAGATTCCTGCTTCTTCTGGCCCTGATACGAATATTTCATTTGCTTAAAAGTTATTCTATTTTTTTTCCTTACAAGTTTTCCTGTTTTTCTGAGAACGCTCGATATGAAAGTCTCACAGGGAAAGTAAAAGTAAGGTATTTTCCCCACCATGCCTCTATTTATTTTCATACTTAGAATCACAGAATCTCACAGATGGGAAGGAACTGAAAGGTGCAAAGTATTTCCACAAATAATTATAATCCAAATGGGTGTGTAATAAATGTCCTAAGTGTGGTAAGACTTGTTGTGAGTTCTGAAGAGGGAGAAAGGATTTCTGCCTGCAGTCAGGAGGGAAGGCTTCATGGAGGAGGCAGCATCTGAGACTGAGTGAGATTCCAATGGGTGGTGGGAGGAGATGTTCTACAGCAAGGGAAAAGAGTTCCTTTGGAGGCAGTGAGTCCAGTGACAGAAGGAATCCAGCTTGGTTAATAGCAGGACATGCAGAGCAGAGCAAACAGGATGTACCAGAGTATACCGCACTAAGAATCCATTTTGGGGTGCAAATAGTAACTGAGGCCTAGAATTCCTTGGAAGTATAAAATGATGTTTTCAAAGCATAGCTTATAAATGGCTATATTCTTGAGTGTAAAAACCTACTTCCAAGAATGAGATGGTCACTTTGTTTCCTTCAGTAGTATTTGAATGACATTGATAAACAGGACATAATGTTTTGAAAACAGAATTTCTGGTGTACATATGTAGTTAAGGGAAAAAGAAGGGGCAGGAGACTCAAAACCATATATAGGAGAGATTTCTGGTTACATGGTACAGTTCCCTGCCTCCAAAAATACAGAATAGTGGATAAAATGCAAAAAAGAGAAAGTAAAAACATAGCCAGGCTTAAAAGCCAAACAAACATCTCCATGAACCAGAAGTGAAAAAGACATGCAAACCAGTGGGTGGACATGAAGCCCAGGCCTGAGGGCTGCGGTGAGTTGTGGAGAGGGGCAGGGGGAGCAGTTATAAAGGGTTTGCATAGACATATCTGGCTACACCCCAGGGCCCAGTGCAGAGACAACCCACTGAAAACTGCCCAGCCTTTCTGTAAAGAAGGCCTCTTTGCTTATCTTAGAGCTTCTGTCTGAGGGTCAGGCATCTAATGTAACACAGGACTAGGGGTTCTCTCCAAAGACAGAGGCTAGTGGGCACCACCGTTGCACTGTCCTCTGCCTCACCCCAGGTCACTGCTATCTCCTGGAAAGGAGCTTATGCACATGTCTGGTGTCCTGAGTTTTGTTTTGTTTTGTTTTTGTTTTTTTGTTTGTTTTTGCAGCTGCCACCCAGGAGATGTCTCTTGAGCACCTGATTCTGGTGGCAAATGAGGTTTATGTTTGAGGTGCCACAGGACCATAACAAACCAGGAAAACGTCCTTAACCAGCTACCTACCCCCAGTGCAGAGACAGCAGACTGGAATGCTCAGTCGTACCATGGGAGAGGCCTATCAGTGTAACTTCACAGCCGTGGCCTGAGGAGTAGGCTTCTAATTAAACATACATCCGAGGGCCAACTCTAATCCTCTCCAGAGACTTTGGAGGGTGGGTGCTCTCTTCATCTTCCTTATGCCATGCTCCCAAATGCTGGCATCTCCAAGAAAGGAACTTGTGTGAACAACTGTTGCTGTCACTCAAAAGGCACATCCCTTGATGTCCTGAGTCTGGTGAGTAGAGGGGCTTGGGTTCATGGGTTCAGCAGGATGGCAGCAAACAAAGAAAGTTCTTAACTGGCTATCATCCCAGGGTTCAGTGCACACAGAACAGACAGAAATGCCCATTTCCTAGTGTTCCCCTAAAAGAGGTATATTTGCATACTTTAAAAGTGGCTGCCTGAGAATTTGGCTTCCAATCAGCCTAAATCCACTTTGGAGCCTGACAGGTCTTGTGACACCTCCAGTTACTGGGAGTAACTAAGGATGAAGTAGAGTACTAGAAGAAACACAAAGTTCTGAGAGCCAAGCAAGAGCTAAGGTGGGCTTGAATGATAAGGCTCATTTCCTACATGAGGCTTCTCCTTCCAGACTGAGAGAGGTGGCTGTTTTATATAATGCATAAAAACCAACACAGAGAGGAAAGTAAAATAAAGAAACAGAGGAATATGGTCCAAATGAAACAAGATAAAACCTCAGAAAAGACTTCAATGAGACAGATGGGTGATTTACCAAATAGCTCAAAATAATGGTCATAATAATACTTAACAAGTTCAGGAGAAACATGCATGAACAAAGTGAGAATTTCAACAAAGAGAAAGAAAATATTTTAAAAGTACCAAACAGAAGTCATGGAGCTGAAGAATACAATCACAGAACAGAAAAATACAATAAAGGAATTCAATAGCAAACTAGATGAAGCACAAGAAAGGATCATGAACTCAAACACAGGGCAGTAGAACTTACCCAACTAGAGCAAAAAGAACAAAGAATGAAAAATAGTGAAGATAATTTAAGGGACTTAAATTTAAGATAGATCACATGGGCCAACATTCATGTTATACAAGTCCCAGAAGGAAAAGAGGGCAGAAAATTTATTTGAGGAAATAATGGCTGAAAACTCCCCTAAGATAGGGAAGGAAACAGACATCCACATGTAGGAAGTCCAGGGAGTTTCAAAACAGATGAACCAAGAGATCCACACCAAGACACATTAAAATTGAAGTGTCAAAAGTTAAAAACAAAGAGAACATCTTACAAGTAGCAAGAGAAAAACTTGTTACATACAAGGGAACTCTCACAAGACTAATAGCAGATTTTTCAGCAGAAATTGTGCAGACCAGAAGGGAGGAACACAATATATTCAAAGTGCTGAAAGAAAAAAAAAAGACAGAAACAACAACAACAAAAAACCCCTCTATCAAGAATACCCTACCTGGCAAATTTGTCCTTCAGAATCAAAGGAAAGATAAAGTTTTCCAGACAGGCCAAAGCTAAAGGAGTGCATCACCACTAGACAAATCTTACAAGAAATGTTGACAACAAAGCCAAGGAAACACAGGGAAAAATACACAAACGGGACAACATCAAACTGAAACGTTTCTGCATGGCGAAGAAAACCATCAACAAAATGAAAAGGCAAACTACAAATGAAATAAAATATTTGCAAATCATAAACCTGATAAGGAGTTAATATCTAAAATATACAAAGAACTCACACGACTCAACAGGAAAAAACCCCAACCGACCCAATTCATAAATGGGAGAGGATCAGAATAGACATTTTTCCACAGAAGACATGCAAATGGCTAATAGGTATAGGAAAATGTGCTCAACATCACTAATCCTCAGGGATTAGCAAATCAAAACCACAGTGAGACACCACCTCATACCTGTCAGAGTGGCTATCTTGACAAAGACAAGAAATAACAAGTATCAGTGAGGATGAGAAGAAAAGAGAAACCTGCATACTACACTGTTGGTGGGAATGTAAATTGGTGCAGCCGCTATAGAAAACAGTATGGAGGTTCTGAAAAAAAAAAATTAAAAATAGAGCTACATATGATCCAGCAATACTACTTCTGGGTATTTATTCAAAGAAAATGAAAACACTAATTCAAAAAGAAAGAAACCAGAACATAGATACTGAGAACAGACTAGTGCTGCCAGCCGGGTGTGTGTGTTGGGGCAGGGTGGGGGGTCAGGGGGGTGGCGGTGCAAATGAAATGGGTGAGGGTGGTTAAAGGTACAAACTTCTAGTTATAACACAAATAAGTCCTGGGGATCTAATGTACAGCACGATGACTATAGTTCACAATATTGTATTGTGTATTTGGGAGTTGTTAAGAGAAAAGTTCTCAACACAAGAAAAAAATCTTAACTATGTGTGGTGATGGATGTTAACTACATATATTGCAGTGATCACATTGTGATATACACATGTATAGAGTCATTATGTTACAAACATAAACTAATAAGTTTATATCTCAGCAATAAAAATCATATAATTATAGAAATTATATCTCAATAATAAAAAAGAAATACCATACAAACACTAAGCACACACAAAAGAACCAATTTAAAATCTTGGAAAGGAAAAATAATATGTAGTAGATTAATAAGGAAAAGTATAGAATTAGAAATCTGGAAAATGTTCTAAGGAATTCACCAGGAATGTAATACAGAAATAAACAGATTTTTTGCTTTTAAATGAGAGTGTAGGTAAGGGACAAGGAGGATAGATTTAGGACCTCCCAAATGAACATATTTCAAATAATCATCTTATTTCCTTGAGCTACTGTATTATTTTGCAAAATCAAAGGATGTTCAGGATCATTCCAAATTTTGAGGGTACATTATATAAGGCAATTAGTACACTCTTACATAAAATGTCTGTACAATTCTCAGAAAAGAAAAAGATTTAAAAAAAATTTTTTTCTAATGTTTATTTCTGAGAGAGAGAGAGAGAACGAGCACAAGTGGGGTGGGGCAGAGAGATGGAGACACAGAATCCAAAGCAGCTGTCAGCACAGAGCCCAACATGGGGCTTGAACTCGTGAACTGCAAAATCATGACCTGAGCCAAAGCTGGATGCCCAACCGACTGAGCCACCCAGGTGTCCCAGAAAAGAAAAAGATGTTCTTTAATGAACCAGTGATAAGATATAAGCTTTTGTACCTC